TGCCTGCTGTTCTTAGGGATTCATTCCTGTTCCTGTCTGGATAATGATGGGGTTTGAAAATAGTGAATGATGGGCAAATTGATGTGGTATAATAATTGGGTAATTAGATATTGATTAATAGATTATTAAATGAATTCTTATACAATAGTTATTAGATTATTAAATAAATAATATCATTATTTTTGTCTATTATTATATAATATAATAGCTGTTATATATTATATATTTTATATGTGATATATAAAATATATAACATAATATATAATGTAATGTAATATAATATCATAAATATAATATAGCATAACAACATAATATAACATAATATAGTATAATAAATATAATATAGCATAATATATATAACATAATATGTAATATAAGATAACATATAACATAATGTTATATAATATAATTAATGTAATATAATATATAATAATATAATACCATATAATAGATTCTTTATTATATATCATTATCAAATAATGATTATTTAAATTATTTTATTACTATCATTATTTCCTTCCACGAGGTGCCACCTTGGGCAGAAGGTGACAATGTCCTCGAGGGACATTTGGAGTGTAAATAACAAACAACACAAAATGTGCTGCCCTTTGCTGCAGTCAGGACTCAGTTTCTTCATGCAGAAAAACCAATTTTTAATTTTACAGCCCATTTTTATTCACTTTTCAAGACCTTGTGTTGAATTGTTCACAACTTTCTTGCCACTCCATTAATTGGTTAGTAAATGACATTTTACTGTCCATCAAATCTCTCTATTCCTGATATTTAAATATTTTTTCACTCATTCCCATGGCACAGATTTCTTGGTTTTTACAGGTGCAAACTGTTTTTTTCTCTATTGAATAGCTTGTTGTGCTCACTGATTGCCTTTTTAGGATTTTTTTTCTGCTGGGAACTTAGAGGGGAGCTGGTAACTGAGCAGAGCAAGGCTTGATTTTATAGAAAGCCTTTATTTTAGAATTTATACAGCATATCACATATATATAATATATAATATATACAACAGACATGTATATATATACAACAACCCTTGGCACTGGGCAGAGCAAAAATGGTGTTAAAAGTTGTGTCCACTCTGGCACAAATTTTTCCATCACAAATCTCATGAGGAATTACAAAATTTGTGATGCTGGAGGATCTGGCCAGGACAGGGAATGGCCACTAAAACCAACCACCCTTTATTCAGAAATGATTGGATATTCCTGGCTCATTAATGCCAGAATTCCAGGGGTTTTCCAGCATTCCTGGTGAATTCCTGCTGGAATTGCTGACCCTCCCCTGTGTTTGGTGTGGCAGGAATTGAAGCTGGGCTCCCACGCTGAGGCTCTGTCCTTCACCTCTCTGGTCGATGGCTACTTCAGGCTCACAGCAGATGCTCACCATTACCTGTGCACTGATGTGGCTCCTCCCCTCATCCAGCACAACATCAAAAACGGCTGCCACGGGCCCATCTGGTCAGTCAATTCTGCTTTTTGAGGGTTTTTAAAAAAATTTTATTTTTATTTTTAATAATTCCTTTCATAGCGAGTCTGAGGAAACGTGAGGTTTGGATGGGTGGTGGTTACCAAAGGTTGAAAAAAAATGTTGTTAAAGGAAAAAAAAATCAGTGTTTCTGCACTAAAGGAGTGTTCCAGGAGTTTTCTCCATGGGAATATTTTAGGTAGAGGGTGGAAGTGTCTCTGCACTCATCCCAGGAGTCCTTGGGTGGATGAACAAAGCCTTGGGTGTTTAAACACCTAAAGGAATTCTCTTTGTGGCTTTTCCCTTTATATTTAAGCTGCAAACTGCAGAAATCCAGGAGTTCACCTGCACACTGTTGGATGCAAAATTCCTTTGAATAAATCCTCCCTCCCTTGCCCTGTACAACCCAATATGAGCAATACACCCTTAAATCCTATTTTAATCACAACATCGATAGATCTAAATTGCTGTTACACCCCAAATAGAGATTTGCTCGTATTCCACCCCCAAAAAAATAAATTTTCCGATGGTGCCACGTTGTTTTTTTCTCCCTTGCAGCACAGAATATGCCATCAACAAGCTGAGGCAGGAGGGGAACGAGGTGGGGATGTACGTGCTGAGGTGGAGCTGCACCAACTTCAACCACATCCTCATGACTGTGACGTGTCTGGAAGGCTCCGAGGTACAATGAGCTGAGCATTCCCTGCTCCCTGCAATCCCTGGCATGTGGTTTTTATCCTTAAGGAACTCACCCTGATGTCTGTGAAAGAAATTAGGTTTTTATTTTTTTTTCCCCCCTAGCCTTTTGTGCTGTCTCTCCAAATGGGATTAATTAGCTCCAGAACAGCTCCTTCCAATCAAAGTGTGATAAAAATGAAATATTTTTAAACTCGTGGCAACAGAGAATTTGTCACTTCACCTTGCCTTGAGCATGGTTCAGCTTCTCTGGAGGTTTTTTTTGGGCATGGATTTAATTCCCTTGATGGATTTTATTCCCACACCAGGCTCAGCTGGAAACCTGCAGCTGACTCAGTGGTTTGGGAGAACATTTAAAGTGTTCACACAAGAATAATAATAAATAATAAAGAATTAATAATAATAGTGATGATGATGATGATAACATAAATCCTTCTCTTAGGAAAAAATGGTGATAGAATCAGTGGTGAGTCATGAAGGGATTTTTGATACTGGGTTTATGTCTTGTAGATATTAAAAAACAAAACAAAACAAAAAAAAATCAACTCTCTCTTAACAGTGAAAGAAGAAAGGAATTTTGTCTGGGAAAAGAGGGAAGGGACAGGTGACCTAAAGCTGCAGAGGGGAGGTGCTGAGAGCTCTGGAGATGGGGGAGTTCAGAAGTTCAGCCCTTCCCCAGCACCTCTGGGTGAAACTGGAGGATGTCAGCACCAGCCTGAAATCTTGTTGAACAGTCTAGGGTGGGAAAGGGAGTTTTGCTATTTTTAAGTTGAGATTTTGAAACCCTGCTTCAGATTCTGCAATTCTTGACCAAAGGAAGAAAAAAATTGCTCCAGAAGAGGCAAAACTGCATCTTCTCAGGCTCTGCAAAAAAAACAAAAACCAAAAAACAAAAAAAACACCAAACCATAATTTGGGCTTGTTGGGTGATTGCATCTTTATGTTGCTGCTCTTCTCTTTGAGCCTTCCTGGGAATGAAAATCCCAGGAATTTTGGTTTGTTTTTTTTTTTTTTTGCTTTGTTGCAGTTTGATTAGAGAACCCTGGCTTAGGAGCAGGGGATGAGCTGGTCCTACACGTGGTACCAAGGTTTTGGGAAGCCCTGATGGCTTCACAAATAATTCTTGCATTCCAGTGATCCTCTTTGCTTTCTTTTCCCTCCACCACCAGGTGATGAATAACTCAGGCCCCTACAAGAACTTCCAGATCGAGGTGAAGAAAGGGGGATATTTCCTCCATGGCTCCAACAAATCCTTTGCATCCCTGAAAGACCTCATGGATCACCTGAAGGGACAAATCCTGAGGACAGACAACATCAGCTTCACCCTGAAGAGGTGCTGCCAGCCCAGACCCAGAGGTAACTTGGCCTTGCAGGGTTGAATTGTTGAAATTAAATTACAGGAGGCTTTTTTTAGGGTATTTTTAGTGCTGTATCCTGCTGTGAAACTCTTTAAAATAAAGAAGTTTAAATTTTTTTTCCTTGTCTGAGGAGGAGGAGGAGATTTGTCAGAAGCAAAACAAGTGCTGTGGGCAGGTTTGAGGAGGGGAGAAGAGAGTTGGAAGGTGCTGTGCTGGCTCTCATTGTGTGAGCTGGTGCTGAATAACTCAAATAACTCATCTGCACGAGGCAGCAGGGAAGGTTTTTGGTCCCAACTGATGTCCTGAAGAGCCTGGTGGCAGGAAATCATCTGTGAGCTCCCAAGTGAGGGACAATGGGGCAGTTGTTTGGGTGATGGCAGCACCCTCTGGAGCTGTTTGCTATGAACTCTGAGTGTCTTGCAGCTGAATTTTGTGTGAGAGAGGAAGCACAGTGGGGTGATTGTGCTGAGCTGATAATGGTTTCCTGTTAGAAGCAGGGGAATAACTGAGCCACATCAGTCACCTGCTGCTCTGAGGCTTTGGGAGAGTCCCTGAGCTCCTCACTCTGCACAAAGAACGTGGCTCATGCTCTGGAGCAGGGGGACATTGCACCGTTGACATTTTGGTTTCATTTTGATGGCTGGATTTGGAATAAAAGAAAATAAAAAGGCTCAGGGAGTTGATTGCCCACTTCAGCTTCTCCCTGGCTTTAGTTCCAGCAGGATTCAGTTCATGTTCCCTCTCCTGTCTCTTCCCTGGTGAGTTTTTTCCTCCTTTTTGAATATTTAATCAGATATTCACAAAGAAGTTCAGGGGATACAGGACTAAAGCAGTTTGGCAGGGTGTGATTATTCCTGGTGATTCCAGAATCCCAGATGAGGATTTAGCCCCAGTGCCCAAGTTCTGCTCACAGCAGGAGGAAGCCCCAGATGGCCACACACATCCCAGTCCATCCTCCCCAAATGTCTGGAAGGCAGAATTCACCTGCAAAAACTTCTGGAAGTGTCCTGGAGCAGTGGGGAGGAAGCACTGGATTTTTGAGTGTGTTCCCCATTCCCCAGCTGAATTCCAGAGCCCTGGGAACGCTGTTGGTGTCTCCCAGAGAGGGAATTTGGAAGGAGGTGAAGACGAAATGAGACTTGCACACATTGAAGAGGAGGTGGCCCTGCTGGCAGGAGGGGATGTGGGATATTTTATTCCATTTTATTCCATTTTATTCCATTTTATTCCATTTTATTCCATTTTATTCCGTTTTATTCCATGTACAGCACAGATACTTTCAATCTTTGTGTAGAAAACTGTTCAGTTGCTCAAAATCACCCTGATCTGGCTGATAATACCTCTGTATTTAAATTAAACTGTGCTTCAGTGATTTCTCTGTTGAATGAGGAGCAGAAGTCAAGTCCAAATTTCTTTTTCCTCCATTTTTTGAAGGATTTTGATACTGGGAAGAGGGAGTGCAGTTTCTCTGAAAATCTTTAAGGATATTTTCTATCTCCCCCTGCCTTACAGAAATCTCCAACTTGCTGGTGGCAACCAAGAAGGCCCAGGAGTGGCAGCCAGTGTATCCCATGGGGCAGCTGAGCTTCCACAGGATCCGTAAGGAGGAGATTGTGCAGGTGGGTGCTGAGCCCCCCCTGGCTCCAGGAATGTCCCTGAGCCCTGCAGGTGACACCAGCCCAGCCCTGCTCCCTGCTCCTGCCACTGCCAGCTCCCCTCTGCAAACTCCAAAGCAAATAAATAAACTGGAGTTTATTTGGATTTCGGCCTCTGTGGACAAACAAGAGCTTGGGAGTGATGCCTTTCACTGGAAATGAAATTGGTATTTAAGTTTTCTAATGGAAAAGAGAGGTTTTAAGGTCATTTCTTGGTAATCTTGAGAGCTGGTTTGTTGTGGGTGTATTTTTAAAGCCTGACTTATCAGAGAAACAGAGGTTTAAGGCAATATTCTACAGTAAAAAAAAAAAAAAAAGGTGAAGTATTCAAAAGCTCTGAGCAGTCAGAATTCTGTGTTTAAACCTCGCCAAATTTTCAAATTTCCCCGTGTTTGTAATTGCTTATTCAGGGGCATTAAATCAGATTTAATGTTGCTAAAAGAGCTCTTAAATTGTGCACTTGGCTTCTTCTGGGGAAATAAAAAGGTATTGGGGGTTTTTTATCACTGCAGCAGAGATTGGGTTTGAATTGTTGTGTCTGCACTCAGCATCCTGCAAAAATATCCCAAGGCAGGATGTTGTTTTGGAGGAAACTGCTTCCCCAAACAAAGCCTTGCAGTGAAATATTACTTCCTGTCACTTTTGGAAACACATGAAAGATCACCTCAGTAGCACTTTGTGAATAAAAGCCCCAGCTGTTGTTTATTCATTTGTTTAGTCTGGGAATGTTCAATCCCAGGGAACCTGTTGGATGGTGTGGAGGTGAAATATCCAAGGAATTCACGTGGGGAGGATGCTCAGAGCTCACTGAAGGAAAAACAATTCTCTGTCATTGAGTTCTCACTGAGATAATTTCAATCTCTAACCACATCAGCCAGAGACTGAAAAAAAGTGCAGATTCCAATAAATATTTGTATAAATCTTGTTTGCTTCCCTGCTGCTGTGTCTCAGGGAGAACACCTGGGAAGAGGAACCAGAACTCAGATTTACTCAGGGATGCTGAGCCTCAAGGATGATGAGAACGAAGGGTACCAGAATGAGAAAGAGATCAGAGTGCTGCTCAAAGTCCTGGACCCCAGCCACAGAGACATTTCCTTGGCAAGTTTTTTTCCTTTTGTGTCTTGTACATGGATAAATTTCAAAACTGGCAATGGGGAAATGCTGAATGTCCATGGGGCACATCCCTCCCCTGCTGATCCCTGATGGGATTAACCCAGGGCATTTCTTGGGCTGCTGTTCCATGGATGGTTTTTTTTTTTTTGGAGCTGTGGATGTGATTTGTGTCCCTTTCCCCAGGCATTCTTTGAGACTGCCAGCATGATGAGACAAGTGTCCCACAAACACATCGTGCTCCTGCACGGCGTCTGCGTCAGGGACGTGGAAAGTGAGTCCAGGGAGGGACAGGGGGGGGACACGGGAGGGACAGGGATAGGGGACAGGGGAGGGACAGGGACATGGGACTGGGACAGGGGAGGGACAGGGACATGGGACAGGGATAGGAGACAGGGGAGGGACAGGGACACGGATATGGGACTGGGATAGGGGACAGGGATATGGGACAGGGGAGGGACAGGGATATGGGACGGGGACAGGGATATGGGACTGGAATATGAGACAGGGATAGGGGATAGGGATATGGGATATGAGACAAGGACATGGGACAGGGATAGGGGACAGGGGCTGGGATATGGGACTGGGACTGGGACAGGGATGTTGGACAGGGATATGGGACAGGGACAGGGTTTGGGACATGGAAAATGGGACAGGGACATGAGAAAGGGCAGGGGACAGGGACGTGGGACTGGGACAGGAACATGGGAGGGACAAAGAACAGAGGACAGGGACATGGGACATGAGAAATGAGACAGGGACATGGGGCATGGGACAGGGACTACAAATACACATTCATTTATATGAAATAAATGAATATTTGTAATATTTACACATATAAAGCATGTACACGTTTTCATGTATATTTTTTATACATGCATTTTTATGTTTATACATAAAAAACCATAAATATGCACATAAAAATGTAAATGTGTGCAATGTATTTTTATGACTTTTTAACCCAAGACAGTCCTAATGTTGTGGTGTGGACACCAGAAGGAGAGCAAAGCTTTAGAAAATGAAAAGACAAATTGATTAATCCCCAGCCTTAACTCTTGCAAAGTCAGGAAAGGAACTGGAGTTACATGTGGATGTTAAACAGGGCCATGCTAAAGGAATTTTGGCACAAGAGCACAGGGGAACACAGCAGCCTGTGGCTTATTTTTTTCTTTTATTTCTAATATGCTTATTATTTTCTATTATTTTTCTGTTATGTGCATTAAAATTCCACCTTTGGAATTCCTGGTTCCAGATTTAATATTCATTTGCCACATGAAGCCTCTCAGCCTTTTAATCTGGACTCTGAGCACTGAAATAAACTTAGGGCAAAGTGAAATAAAATCATTTTCCAAGCACCTGGGCTGGGAGGTGGGAACACAAATTAAATTAATTAATTAAATTAATTAAATTAAATTACTCCAAACAATTGACTGCAGCCCTGACTTTCTGCATCTGCCTTTGTAGATATCATGGTTGAAGAGTTTGTTGAATGTGGGCCTCTGGATCTGTTCATGCATAAGAAAAGTGAAGTTCTCACAACCCCATGGAAATTCAAAGTGGCCAAACAACTTGCAAGTGCCCTGAGCTACCTGGTAAGAGACACCTTGGCAAAGGTTGGGAATGCTTTTCCTCCTTTCCTTCTTTTCTTCCAGTTCCTTCCCAGGTGTAATTTTGGATTTCAGCTTGGAATATTTTAGGGATGCTCTGTGGTGTGGATATCCTGGAGCACTCTCAGAATCTCCCTCTCACTGTTCTTTCCCTGTTTTTCTGTAGGAGGACAAGGATTTGGTGCATGGGAATGTGTGCACCAAGAACATCCTGCTGGCCAGAGAGGGCATTGATACCGAATATGGGCCTTTCATAAAGCTGAGTGACCCAGGGATCCCCATCACTGTGCTGTCCAGGCAAGGTATGGCCAGATCACATCCCCAGGGAAAGGCAGAAATGTCATTTATTTATTTATTTATTGCAGCCAGAACTGGCTCTGGAATGGGGGGCAATCAGCTTTCATGGATCTGCAAACACACAGTGGCTGTTCAGAGCATTCATTTGTCTTCCAATAAATGTTGTGTGCAGTGAGATGAGACAGAAGGAATCTCAGTTTGTGGATGGCTCCAGGCACGAGCCTGTGAAAGCTGCAGGAATAAATTCCTGAAAGCAGAAATTTGAGAATCAAGAAACTGGACAAATTCTGCAGCTCCAGTTTATTTCACACAAGAATAATTCAGTTCAGAGCTGATTTTTCCCTGCTGTGATATTCACTCCCTGATGTTTTATCCCAGAGCGTGTGGAGAGGATTCCCTGGATTGCACCTGAGTGTGTTGAAGATTCCAAAAACCTCAGCATTGCTGCAGATAAATGGAGTTTTGGTACAACCCTGTGGGAAATCTGCTACAATGGAGAAACTCCACTGAAAGACAAGACCTTAGCAGAGGTAAAACTGTCACACAAACTTGGATCCATCCTCTTGGGCCCTTCAGTTTTCCCCCTTGTCCTCCCTGCCTTGTCCCCAGTCCCTCTCCAGCTCTCCTGGAGCCCCTTTAGGTCCTGGAAGGGGCTCTGAGCTCTCCCTGGAGCTTTTTCTTCTCCAGACTGGACAATCCCAGCTCTCCCAGCCTTTTCTAAGCCCTGTGTCCAGTTAGAAGCTGAGTGAGATTCTCCCAAACATCTCTTGTTTCTTTTGGGTTGATTCCAGAGGGTCTCTCAGGGGACACTGCTGCTGTTCACTGCAATTTAAAGAATTGGGGTCACTCTTGTTGTGCCCTTCCTGCCCTGCAGGGTTGGGAATGCCCATCCCAGCCCTGTCCCACCTGGCCTGGAGCTGGGACCTCTCAGGGCTGTGAGGAGCACCCAGGGTGTCCTTGGCAAATATTTCCTGGTGCATAAATAACTGGGAAAACCTGGCAGGAAATGATTGCTGAAAATGGAAATATTCTTTTAAACACCTCATGGGTGTTAAGTGGTTGCTCCAGATCCAGCACAAGAGGAATTCTGTACTGTAAAGATCCAAGTTCCAGCTGAAAAGGGAGATTTCCTTGGCAAAGCTGACACTGAATTAAGGATTTAATGGTCACATCCTCTGATGTAGAATCTCAGAATTGCTCAGTTAGAAAAGACCTCAGAGATCCTCGAGCCCAGCCATTGCCCCAGCTCAGAACTGTGAGTCATGGAAGTTAAAATTCCTGGGATTTCTGTTCGTTCCCACAGAAGGAGAGGTTCTATGAGGGGCACTTTGTGCTGGCCACACCATCCTGCAAGGAGCTGGCAGATCTGATGAAGCAGTGCATGAACTACGACCCCCACCAGAGACCCTTCTTCAGGGCCATCATGAGGGACATCAACAAACTGGAGGAGCAGAGTAAGGCCAGGGGGCCCCTGGAGGGGGGGGACCACGGAATTCTGGGGTGGGACAGCTCGGGAGGGACCTGGGACAGCATCTGGTACAAACCTGATGGGAGCTGCTCCAGGGTGGGAAGTTCACCAAGAGAAATCTGGGTGTGGGTGTGGGAGCAGAGCCAGAGTGGCACGAGTGGATGGAGAATTCCCTGTCACAAAGGTGGGGAAAAGGAAGGAAAGATGGGGCAGTGGGAATGGAGCAGGGATGTCTTGGAGTGTCAGACATGCAGGAATCTCAGCTGGGATGTTTCCCCTCCTAGATCCTGATATTGTCTCAGAGAAGAAACCTGTCACCGAGGTGGATCCCACTCTGTTTGAGAAGAGGTTCTTGAAAAGGATCCGGGATTTGGGTGAGGTAAGAGGAATGTCACCCCCAGAACACAGCCAGAGCTCCTGGGTGTCCCCACAGCCTGTGCTGTGTCACAGACACCCAAACCAGTGCCTGGGTGTCCCCACAGCCCCTGCTGTGTGACACAAACACCCAAATCAGTGCCTGGATGTCCCCACAGCCCCTGCTGTGTGACATGAACACCCAAAACAGTGCCTGGATGTCCCCACAGCCCCTGCTGTGTGACATGAAAACCCAGACCATCCCTGTCTGAGCCTTGTCCTCAAAGATGCTTTTTTCTCTCCCACCCAGGGCCACTTTGGCAAGGTGGAACTGTGCAGATATGACCCAGAAGGTGACAACACCGGGGAGCAGGTGGCAGTGAAATCCCTAAAGCCAGAGAGTGGAGGGAATCACATTGCTGACCTCAAGAAGGAAATTGAAATCCTGAGGAATCTTTATCACGACAACATTGTCAAATACAAGGGCATTTGCACAGAAGATGGTAAATCATGCAGAATATTAAAAAGTATATGGGTTTTCCTTTAGAATTATAAATGTCCTGCCTGGAGCAGGTTTTCCTGTGGGTTGGCTCAGGGATGGATGATGGGAATGAGCCATGAGGTGTTTAAAACACTGCTGGTGCTCTGGGCTTGTACAAAAGCTGTTGGTGTTCACAATGTGAGAAAAGTCTGCAAATTAAACATGCTGTGTTTTTTAGGAGGAAGTGGGATTAAACTCATCATGGAATTCCTTCCCTCTGGGAGCCTGAAGGAATATCTCCCACGGAACAAGAACAAGATCAATCTCAAGCAGCTGCTCAAATATGCAGTTCAGATCTGCAAGGTGAGCTGGGCTCTGAGCCTGCAGCTCCTCCAGCAGGATGAGGGGGGATGGAAAACATCAGCAACAAACCCATTTTCCTTCTTTATCCCCGAGGATCAGAATCCTAAAGCAATCTCTCCCACGCCCTGGGTGCTACTGGCACAAAGATCAGCAGGGGAATAATGAGGAGGTTCCAAGTTCCAAAGTTTGCTGGGAAAAGTTGTTCCTGTGGGAGGATTTGGAGGATCAGGAGGGAGGGCAGCACTTGGGATGTTTTGGCAAGAGGAAAAGAGCAAGGTGAATTCTAAAGGGATGGAAATGAGAGTGCACAGCGTGGTCAGGCCATGTGAAGCAGTAACTGGAGAAAAAGGGATTAAAGTATAAAATAAATAAAAGGTTTCTTTTCTCCTCCCTTAGGGCATGGACTACCTGGGCTCCCGTCAGTACGTGCACCGTGACCTGGCAGCCAGAAATGTCCTCGTGGAGAGTGAGAACAGGGTGAAGATTGGGGACTTTGGGCTCACCAAGGCCATCGAGACAGATAAGGAATATTACACTGTCAAGGACGACCGCGACAGCCCCGTGTTCTGGTACGGCCCAGGCCCAGGCCAGGCACCCCTCTGCTCCCCAGGACCTTCCTGTTTCTATAAGAGGTCTAAGTGAAGACACACCATGAGAGCAAGGAACAGGCACCTGGTGGACTGGACTCACCTCTTGTGCTGTTGATTTCTTCCTGTACTTAATGATCCATTTCCTCACTGTTCAGGGTTTGGTCTCCTTGTTTTCACAGTGCCTTGCTGTGAACACACCTCATTCCTTACATTTTCTTTATGTGCAAGGGCTCCAGCAGCACAGCTGTGGCTGCTGAGTTGCTGTGGCTGTGTGTGAGCCGTGGGTGTGACGCTGTCCCCTCGTGTCCCCAGGTACGCCCCGGAGTGTTTGCTGCAGAGCAAGTTCTACATCGCCTCGGACGTGTGGTCCTTCGGGGTGACACTCTACGAGCTCCTCACCTACTGTGACTCCGAGTCCAGCCCCATGGCAGTAAGTGGCTGGGACACAAATGGCTGCCAGAGCTGCTTCAATCCCATCAGTTAAAAAAGATTATTCTTGTTTTTGGCAACAAGGAGAGGAATCAGAAAATCATCAGCTGATTTGGGGAGGGAGGGAACTTAATGGTCATCTCCTGCCAGCCCTTCCGTGGGGAACACCAGGAAACACCCTGGTGCTTGTCCTTGCAGTGGGGTGAGGGATTCCCAGCTGATCCTGCGGTCCCCACAGGAATTCCTGAAGATGATCGGCCCCACGCAGGGACAGATGACGGTGGCGCGGCTCGTCAGGGTCCTGCAGGACGACAAACGGCTGCCACGGCCACCAAACTGTCCTGAGGAGGTGAGGGAGGCATGAGGGATGGATAAATGATGGATAAATGATGGATAAATGATGGATGGATGGATGGATGATGGATGGATGATGGATGATGGATG